CAAGCGACGAGAAACGACGCATCATGCCCGTTGGGTGCGTCGTCAGCAACCCGGCGCGGGAAAAGAGTTCCTTCAGGCGAGAGACGACGCGGCCTGGACGGCACCTCTCGTCTGGCCGGACGCCGCTGGCGGTCACTGCGGCGGCAGAAACGGCCACGGCCAGTTGCAGGTGTTGTACCTGGCATTCAGGCGTCATGGAGTCAAAGAGGTCCAACGTCGCGGCTACGGCGGAGAAAAGGTAGTCCAGCTGCTTGTCTCGTGAATCGAGCAAAGGCAGCGCCAGCACTGGAACTGTCGTCCCCCTCTCCGTGCGGATGGGCGCCGCAACGAAGTAGCAGTTCATTGCCAGGGCGGCGCACGCTGCGTACGCCGAGTGCTGGTACGCGGCGGGCTGAGGCGGCAGTGCGTCCCGCAGTGTGGCGACTACACGCAGCGCCTCGCGGTGAAGGCAAAAGAGCGTCTCCATGTCCCCCATCCTGCGGCTCGCGGCTGAGGCGCCTCCGTGCCTCCGCACCCACGTGCGTGAGGAGCTCCACCGCCATTGCGGCCGCGCCGTCCCACGCGCACGCCAGGCGCAGCGAGTCAAAAAGCCGCACAGCTTCTTGCACACGGCAGCCACGAGCGTCGACGGCGGAGTGCCGGCGATGCAGCACCGCGTGAAGAACGCTTTTCAGGAGACGGACGGTCGCTCGGCGAAACGCAACATCTCCGCCGCCTTCGCCGCGCTCCTCCGCGGAGGCCGGACGGCCCCAACCCAAAGCAACACGACTCAGCAGCGAGCCACGACCTCCCGCGCTGCCGCCACGGTCACTCTCACCGCCGTTTGCGGCTTCACCGGCGCGCTCTGCCGGCCCCACCGCCGCGCCCAGCACACCGCGAGAGCGGTACAAAACAAATACGATCCGCGCGACCGTCTCCGCGTCGCCAATGAGGGCGGCAGACTCGGCACATCTCTCGGCAACGTTCTCATCAAATACTTCCAGGCCGCGCAACCGGGCAATAGACGCGAGCTGCAAGAGCTCAATTGCCTGTTGCTTTGCCGCAGTTGTGTCACACCGAATCAAAGCTGCCGCCGCAGCCGACACCACAGGGGCCGTCGCCAGCAATTCACTCTCGATGCTTCCGCCGCTCGCCTCCAGCCCTGCGGAGGCGACGCCGCCACCCTGCAGCCGCCGACGAATTGCCTGAATAAACACGAACTCACTAGAGTGGCTGCCGCCCGCGAGGGCTGTAGGCGAGAGGAGTGGCATGAGGCCCTTCTGCGCAAACGCCAAGGCGTCGCGGCCCTCGAGGCAGGACATCACCGCCTCCAGTGCTCGCGCCTGCAAATCCACTACCGCCTCATCCGGGAGATCCCACCCCAGGCCGGCCTGCGAGGGGTGCAGCGGCTTCCTAAGCAACTCCACCAGCAACGAGTACACTTGCTTGGAAGGCACCCCCATACCACAGGCACTCAGCCTCTGAAGGACGCAAAAATAATCGTAGGGGGAGGGCACCAACGAGGCATCGCGGGACGGGGAGGGGCGGTATACGGCGTACAGGCGACGACGCTCAGAATGCAAAAACCCCTCCGCGGCCTCCTCCAGGGAGCTACGCGTCTTGGCCGCCAAGACATGAAGCCGTGGCCGGGAGCTTGCTGACTCAACGACTCCAGCGCCACCTGAAGAAGCAAGCGGGCCCGTGGCGTGGGGCGTTGGTTGCCGCCACGTGTTCCGCCGCTGCTGCACGTAAGGGTTTTGTGCGCCGCCCCGCTGAGACTCGTGCGAGTACGACGCCTTGGCGCCCCGCAACGCCCAAGCGCAACCGCCGCTCCGCGCCAACCCCCGGCGCGGGTGGGCGCGCTCCCCACCGCCACCGCCCCGCAGCAGCGAGAAAAGGCCCCAGGCGAGACGCCGCATGACTGCCCTCGGCAACTGGGTGGGGGTGGGAAAACGCACACAGGAAGGACTGTGGAAAGGCAAGAGGCAGGGGAGGGAGGCAGGCGGTGGCAAGTCAGAAAGGCGCCCGCCGCGGTCGGAACGAGAAATAAAAAAAAGGGCGACAGAGGCCCGCTCTCAGCACACGCAACTTTTCGTCGCCGCGCTGTTTCTCTACTATGCTTTAAGC